TGCTATTCAATGAACTGTAGATGCAACAACATCTTGACAGGTTATTCCAAGCCCATCATTGTGAATTAGAGAGAGGGATGGAGAGTGGCTGCCCAAGGTGACCTGGGGGTATATGTGTCTTCTCCATAGTACCTGCAGGGGACAGCTCCTCTGGGAGCAACAGAATGATGTACAGGCGTAGCTACCTGCTAAAAAGTATGGGAAGCAGCTCTGAAAGTAATTTAAGTGGAGTGAGTGAGTTACTGAGGTTGTAGAAGTTGTCAAGTGAAGGGACTCCACCTGAAGGCACCCAAAGTGTCTATTATCTTTTCTCATTAAACAAAATTTCTCCTGTAATCACTAATAGGAGTCTGATGCTTATATCTCTTTCCACTAAATTTATAACACTTCGTATAATACATAACTTCCATTTGGATTCTGCTTAGTACATTCTAAAGTTACACACTATATTTTAAAAAGAGAAAAAATTATAAATATATAATTAAAACAACAATCCATACCAATTCAAATCTATCATTAATATTAATATTCATTTAAGTCTTAAACATTTTACACATTACTTTTCAAATAAGTATCATACTTCTATGGGAACACTTATAAACTTTCCATAATTATTCCCCCCCACTTCACTTGTATTTTAAAACATTGTGTCATTAAAATGTTCCCATTCCTTCTTAATTCAATTCTCTCATTTATTTCATTATTTAGAGATAATGGGTAAAAACTTAATTGAAAAAATGATTCTGCAAAGGTACATAAGATTGTATTGTTATATTTATATTAGAAATAATGTTAGAAAATTGGAAACAACATGTGATTAAAAAGTGGGACAAAATATTTAGTGTAATTCAGTGAAATTTTTGTGAACAAAAGAACTGAAGGCACCCAAACCGATCACCTTGTTGACAGTGTGGAGTTAAGAATCCATGGATCGTAGGTCAAGTCTTTCCCTCTGAAGAAGATGCCGTCCTATTTGTTGGACAACTTTATCATTTCTAATCATTGGCCATAGTGGATGAACAGCAGGACAGTGTAAAATACCTGGAGAGCATTAGGTGTCCCACCTCATCTGTTCCATAATCCCCAGAGATGTTAAAATCCCCATTCTATAAGAAGTTAAGACCTCCTTTGAGTCAAGCTTCACCTGAGCTGCAAAAATTCAGATGATTAATAAGTGGCAACCAAGAAGAGATTTCTGTAGAAAATCTAGCGGGTCATCTGGAGTTTAGCAGCCCAGTTTGGAACTCTGTGACCATGGAATGGTCACCTGGATCTTAGCAGCTCAGATGCGATGCTGTAGGCTTCACAGACACTGCTGTTTTCTTAGCAACAATGTAGAGATGGCTATCCATTGTCTTCTTCAGCTGTTATTTTTACATCTTGCCCAGGGTTGGCTGGAGAATTCTGGGAATTGAAGCCCACACATCTTAAAAGTTGTACAGAGTGAGAAACACTGGGCTAACTCATAGTCCTGGCTGTCAACCAAATCTAACCCTACTTAGCTTTTAGTCCAGATAAGGATGGTCAGCTGTTGAAGAGTATTGAAGCTATAGACAAGAGTCTGATAGCTCACAAAAATTTATGCCTTTGAATCAGATTTGTTCATCTGAAAAGATGCTACCAGATTCTACCTGATTTGGAGCGTCCATGGCTCTTTTTTATTTACAGGGTTATTCCATAATACCGAATTAAAATCATACAAAAAACCTCTGGGGTCTCTCAGAGATATTGGAGAAACAAAGCCCATCATCCTCAGTCAGGTCTCTCTTGCTTATGAACCTTTGCCGATCAAGGCACAGTTATATCAATTCACTCACTAGGCAATGGTGGGTAAATGGTGCCTCTCAGTATAAATATGGAAGCATTTTAGGCCCGTAAAAAGAAGAATGAGTAACCTCTTTGCAATGGTTTGGAAAACTGCATGTTGTTTTGTCATGCGCTTGGTTTTTATTTTGGAACCGTTCGGAAAATGAGAGAAAGGGAAGGCTGAATTAAATGCTGGAAGTGATTAATCGGATAAAAAGACACTCTTCATTACAAACCTACAATATTTTATAAAGCACTGGATTTAATTTGGGACACAATATTAAGGGTTTATACTCAGATGTAAATCCTAAAGAATTGAAGGCTCCATTGTAGATTCTTCTAGATATCAATGCAAGAGCTGTAAATGTTGTATTGTTGTACGTTTAATATCGTGCTCTCTTTCAGCAGTGCGTTAAATCAGATTTTGCAATTTGTATTTAAAAGGATAAACGCCTTTTTATAGTTTTAAATGTGACTTTAATGAGTGCAATTATGGGGTGTTAAAATGTGGAAATTAATAAAGAGTATCTTCTATATTTCAAATATCCTGGTATAGATTTATAGTAGCACTTCCCACCTCTAAATCATCAAATGATCTCTGCCTGGAAACAGAAATACCAGGTAGTCCTTAACTTATGACCACAATTGAGCTCAAAATTTCTGTTGCTAAGTGAGACATTTGCTGTATGAATTTTGTCCCATTTTACAACCTTTCTTGCCACGGTGGTTAAGTGAATCAATGCAGTTCTTAAATGAAGCGAATCTGGCTTCCCCATTGACTTTGCTTGTCAGAAGGTTGCAAAAGTAAAAAATAAAATTGGGGGCATAATAGTTACAGATACCCGCCTCAAGGCCCCCGAAGTGACCCCCCCATCCTTCTTCCAACAAGGATGAAGGCTTGGAGAGAGGACAAGAATCCCCTATTAAAAAAGGATGTTGAGACTCTAGAAAAAGTGCAGAGAAGAGCAACAAAATGATTAGGGGACTGGAGACATATGAAGAATGGACACAGGAACTGGGCCTGGCTAGTCTAGTGAAGAGAAGGACCAGGGAGACAGGATAGAAGTCTTCCAATATTTGAGGGGTTGCCACAGGGAGGAGGAAGGGGTCAAGCTATTTTCCAAAGCACTGGAAGGGCAGACAAGGAATAAGGGATGGAAATTGAACAAGGAGAGATTCAACCTGGAAATAAGGAGAAACTTTCTGACAGTGAGAACCATCAATCAATGGAGCAGAAGTTGCCTTCAGATGTTGTTGGGAGCTTCATCACTAGAGGCTTTCAAGAAGAGATTGGACTGCCATTTGTCAGAAGTGGCGTAGGCTCTCCTCTTGCGGGGCGGTTGGACTAGATACTCGAGGCCCTCCAAGGACCCTTCCAATTGTTATTCTGTTATCTCCTTCCCAGCCAACACCGGGCTTCCATTGAAGTAACATGCCTACCATCCCTGTCCTATTGTTTCTTTTTTCTTTTTCTTACATGTATCCATTTCATGTATCCATAACTATGTTTATACTTACCCCTGTTATCTTATAATTGCCTGACAAAATAAATAGATGGATGGATGGATGGATGGATGGATGATAGATGGATGGATGGATGGATGGATGGATAGATAGATGGATGGATGGATAGATGATGGATGGATGGATAGATAGATGGATAGATAGATAGATAGATAGATAGATAGATAGATAGATAGACAGACAGACAGACAGACAGACAGACTTTCATTCCGACTGCTTCCTGCAGATGAGGGGCATTGAGGTCCAGCATGTCTAGGGAGGGAAGGCTGGTTTAGAGAGAGAGAGAGGATATCTCTGGTTTATCCCTTCCAACTCTGTTAATCTGTTAAAACCCCATTGCAGCGCCAGATCACCTGTAGCTCCGGAGACCAGGAGACCTTCTGCATTGGGGCTGATGAATAATACATTAAATCGTAAGTGCCTTTCGAGGCCCCCCACCCCCCACCCTCGTCCATCGCCGCCTCCTTCGTCCAGCCTTGGAAATCCCCCCCTCCCTGCCGGCCGAAATGAGTCACCCGTTCAGCTGCTGGGCGAGGAATCTAATCTGAACTTTCCCAACACGGTCTCAATACGCTTCCCGGGCGCGACCAAGAGGCGGCGGCGATCGGGGTGGGGGGGTGCCGCGTGGCGTGCAAGAGAGAGCTTTCCCCTGTCTCTTTCCTCCAGGAACCGAAGCATCCGTGAGGGTGGAATCCCCTTCTCGACCTCCACCGTCGGAAGCGGGCGGGGGTCGATAACCCGAAAGGTCCGCGGTTCCTATCGGGAGGGGAGAAAAATCAGGGCTCTCTCTCTCTCTCTCTCTCTCTCCCACCTCCCCCCTCCCCGGCGGTGGTAGCGCCCAGCTCGAGAGGCCAGACCGAGGATGTACAATAGTTGAGCTTCTCGCTCTGGTCATTTTGCAGAATCAGCTGCTAGTGGAGTAGGGCTGGGTTTATGCTGGGTGGCCCCCTTTCTTTGAAATCTCTCTCTCTCTCTCTTTATTTCCAGCCGCCTGGGTTAAGGACACCCCCGCCTCCCCTCCCTTTTCTCCCCCTATTTCCCGATCCAGCAATCTTGGATGGTAGGGGAAAAGGGGAGGGGGAAAAATAATAATAACTGTGCAAAGGGATTTTTTTGCTCCCCCGGAGTGGGGTGGGGTTGTGGGGGGGGGGGGGCTAGATAATATTCCCCCCCCGGCTTTTGTGCTCCGCCGCCCGCCCGCCCGCCCACCGCCTCTCGCTTCCGACCAAGTTCTCCCGTTTCCTCTGCGCACAAGCCGCCCGCGATGCAAAAAGAGGAAGAAGGGCGAGTCGGCTGGAGGCTTCCTTTCTGAATTCTTGGGAAGATCTTCCCTCCTCCGCTTCCGAGAAAGAAAAACAAAAAAAAGAGAGATCCTCCTCGATTTGGATTTCCCAGGATCGGAAAAGCCGGAGAGGAATCGCGGCAGGACCAGCCTCCACCAGACAGAAGCGAACCGAGAGAGAGAGAGAGAGAGAGAGGGAGGGAGGGAGAGAACGGGGGGGAGGACGCGAAGCCGGCCCCCCACCCGCCCCCTTCCTCTTCCTCCACACCTCCCCCCCCCCC